ATAATTTACAGACTGTTCTCGAGCTCATCTGTGCTGCGTAATCACCGACGTATCTATCATGGTGCCTATAGTCGCACCTGTAATAACACTGGCTTAGCTTATTCACACTATTTTAGATGTGCCTATTGTGCCCGACTTTTTAAAACCTCATCACATTGTAGAACACATATGCTTACGCACTTGAAAAATTTGTTAAACGTTGGTTCAACGGGTCAAGTAAAGGGAGACCAAATACCTCCAAAAGTGAGCATAGTCAATGCAATAGTAATTATCACTGACACCACAATCAAAGCAAACATAAAAATTGCTCAATTTAATATATTAGCCCCGAAACAGACGAAAGCGCAAAAGGGGGAACTAATACGCCCTTTATGCGCGAAAGATTTGCTTCGGCATAAATGCCATTTTTGCTCAAGTCAATTTGTCAAATCGTGCGACCTTAAACGTCATTTAGTTACGCATACCCGTGAGCGAATGCATGAATGCTCCACATGCGGTAAGTCTTTCAGCTTGAGGAGCACGCTTAGACAACATCGGCTGGTACATGAAATGGAACGTAAAAAACACATCTGTATCGTTTGTGGAAAAACGTATTCTGCTAAGAAATCACTAAATGTTCATTTGAGATTGCATACTGGCGAGCAACCGTTTGCTTGTGAACATTGTGCACTTAGGTTTCGTACATCAGGCCAAAGAATTGCTCATCTAAAAGTGGTACATGGATTAAAAAAATATGTGCCTGCAGAAAAAGACTAAGCAAGGATGCACGACCGATAGTTTTCCTACAGATAAAATTATATTTTGTTTTGAATTCAATGTAAAACAACTAATGTATCTTAAATTAAATACTATTCCATCTTTGAAATATTCTATGAAAGTGATATTAAGTAAATATGTGTATGTACATATGTATTTTGCACATAGTACGTTGCGAAAAATCTCATGACATATACTTTTTTAGGAGATAATAAATAACTAGTCATATTTAAAGTAATTACAAACTATTTCCAACGAAAATTCAAGTAGCTAAAAAAAATAATGATTTTTTCTTCAAATAACGAGTTTTATCATATTTACATATGAAAACCTGGCGATAGTCCATAATTAAATTGAGCGTCTCGCTCCTGACTGCGTGCCAATTCTATTGTTTTCTGTCGCTTGTCGGCAACTATGAAGTCATCGATGTCGTCGCACATTTCAGAGTCTCCGCGCTTGCGCTGATGCAGCGGAGATCTATGCGCCGCAACTACTGACGCCTCTTCAGCCTCGCTGGCCTGATATTGTAGATAATGATCTGCTATTTTCTTTTCAGAACTGAAGAGAAAAAAGGGAAACAATTAACATTCTTCTAACACATTTATTTGGTATTTTTATACTCACATTTTCAACAAATACGGATCAAAAGGAAAGAAGGTGTCGAGTGTTTCTTCTGGCGTAGCCGTGTCATTTGCATAAACTGTCGCCAGTTTTCGTCGTGCATTTCGCTCCAATATCGCATGGCAATAGGCTAGCTGATAAGCTCGCGTAACACCTGCAAATGCCGTTGCCACAGCTGGCAAACAAACGCGTAACGGATTAAAGTTACAGGTGACTATAGCTGATAACTGTAGTGACTGTAGGAAAAGTAAGCCTGAAATATGTAATGTATGTAAATATAGTGTGTAAACTATCGTTCCATGTGGTTATAAACGATATTAACATACTTTTTTTTTCAGCCGTTAAATCACGACTGCGAAAAGCTATTACATAGAAAACGGCTTGGCACAGCGAGAAGAATACAATATTTGCTTTCAGAGAACCATTTTGACGATACTGATCACAGCGTTGTATGTACTGATGCGCCCAATCACATAGCTCCTTCAAATAGAATTTAAGGACGCTGAAAATTATTCAAATGTTATTAAATAATTTCTACGCAATACTATTTCTCATGGACTGAAATTCCTTACGGTAGTGGCACAAACTTCGCGCGCGCCAAAAAGCTCGCTATGTAACCTACAGCAGCTTGCCGTATAACGGCGGACACATTAGGGTTTTTAATTTTTTCCCAAAGTGAAGCAAGGAAAGCTTCTGCGATGGCATTCTATATAGAGAAAAAACATTTACATAATAATTACAGATTCAAGGGATTTTTAAGGCGTAAAAAACTAAATGTTCACCTTGAAACTGCAATAATAAAACAGCAAAAACTGCACGTGGTGTGTGTTGTGTGAAGGTAATATAACGGTATCAAACCCCGACAGTAGCACTTTCCAAAATTTGTTCAGTTGTGGTTTTTGTTCCGCGGTTGTTTGGAGTAAATTGGGACTTCTGGAATCTAAAAAATTATACACTTTTTCCATACAAATATCGAGTGTATGTGCGATTGGATGCTTCATGGGCAACATATCTTCATCTTTATAATTAAAAATTAAAAAAGCAAAATTTAGATATAGTATGTACATATACATACATATGTAAATAAACTTGTATAAAAAAAAAAANATGCTTCATGGGCAACATATCTTCATCTTTATAATTAAAAATTAAAAAAGAAAAATTTAGATATACTATGTACATATACATACATATGTAAATAAACTTGTATAAAAAAAAATTTTTGCTAACCCTTCGCACAGTCGTCCATTTCGAAAATTTCCTTATCATTTTCTTCCTCCAACTCTTCGTCTTCGCAATCTGTTTCTTCGATTTCACTGCGAGGAGCGTTAACATCCAGCATTACTAATCTGAAAAAATTAATGCATAAATACGTTTTCTAAACCGTTTTTCTTAAATCTTACTTTCGGAATGCCAATTGTATCACAAATTCCGTGAAAATAGGTTTATATTCAATCAGCCAGAGCACACTGTGTAGATACCCAGCTATAACATGCGATGGCTTTTTGATATATGGGAATTTATTTTCAACGGCTTCCCACACAACTTCAAAACTCATTGGGATTGCAGTAAGAACGCGATCTAATAATTTATGCACAGCCTCTAATTCGGTCTTAACGTTTTCGATTGGTGAACCATTCGGCCAGAGTGCCGCGTCTGCATCATCTGGTATCCACAGAGAAATTAACTTTGGTATGCCAAATTCAACGTATTTATTGTGTCCCACCATAATATCAATATAAAATTCTGTATAAGCTTGTATTGCAGCTACTTCTCTCTTAGTCCATGGAACCGAAATCAAAGCCTCTACTAAATTTGTAAATTTTGGGCTTAGATCATTTATTAATTTGCGTGCGTCTGACATTACGTTCAAAAACTCTAAATCCTGGAATAATAACATAGTGTAAATTAAGACATTTAATTGATAAAAAAAAGTCTTACGCTCATTTCAGTTTCCCTTAAAAACGCTACAAATTCGTTTAATGGTTGAAAGTTGTTATGGTCATTAACTGCTTCAACAGCATCCAAGATACCCTTACGTTTAGGCATTTCAAAACGTACTTTATTGATGGCAATATTTTTAGCCTTTTCACGTTCCGCTGGCGAGTATGCTTTGAGGATGGACGACAGTCCAGTTTTCACGCTATATACCGACATTATTGCACAACTTGACTATTTTTTGTATGAAATCAAAAATTTTCCAATGATACACAGCCGTTATTGTGTATGAAAGGATCTCTGGGTGGGTATTATTTTATGAAAGGATCTCCAGAGATAAGGGCTTCCTTACTTGAAATGTCTAATAGGCAAGTTATTTTACTTCCACGTTTCACTTGAATTATTTCGCCCTTACTAGACTTCGATATCTGTATTTTCGACTCTTCTAACATGTCTTATTCAAAGTAATCAAAACCAAATAAATTGGTTTTCCCCGACAGAAAGTCGTAATTTAATAGAATTGCAGACGTGTGCGACGAAAATTAAAAAGCACATTGCAGATTTTTTCACCGAATTGTGTAATAGCCCGAACACAATGAAAACGACGAGCTACAAACCACAGCT